TGACTTCACCATCTCAGGAAACACCTCACTGAGATCTAATCTGCTGAAAATTCAGGTATGCAGGTTTTGTAGCTGAAATCTCCAGGCCTTTTTGGGGTTGGGATGGGCTACCTCCCCCGACCCTGTAGCTTTGGCAGGCACATCCACACCCCAAAGCTGCCAACCAGTTAAAAAGCTTCTCCAAGTTGACCTTCACAATAAAAATACTAAATACCCTGAATAAACATGATGACCTCTTAGTACCTGTATTACAAACCATACTGCACAAAAGGAGAGAGAGAGAGAGAGAGAGAGAGAGAGAGAGAGAGAGAGAGAGAGAGAGAAAGAGAGAGAAGAAAAATGCCTGTCATAGAGGCAGGCTGGGGGGGAAAGGGGAATGGTGGAGGGAAACTGAGGGACGTTGGTGGTATGAAATGTACACTGGTGGAGAGATGAGTACTGGATTATTATATGATGAAACCTAATCATGAATAGATTTGTAATGGTCTATCTCACAGATATTCAGTAATTTTTTAAAAAATTAAGGGGAATCAAGACAATTACAAAATTAATTACGTAGAAGACAAAACAGCACTGTAGCACCATCCTCCCATTGTTCATCTATTTGCTTGAGCGGGCAACAGTAACGTCTCCATTGTGAGATTTGTTGTTACTGTTTTTGGCATTTGAATACGTCATGGGGAGCTTGCCAGGTTCTGCCCTGCGGGCGGGATACTCTTGGTAGCTTGCTGGGCTCTCCGAGAGGGGCGGAGGAATTGATCCTGGGTGGGCCGTGTGCAAGGAAAACACCCTACCCACTATGCTATAGCTCCAGCCCACAAGACAAGGCAAACTATATGAGGTCAAAATGTTAGAGTCCTTCCAGTTCAGAAAAAAATAGTTATCACTTATTAGAGATCAACTACTGAATTGACATATTATTTCTTCACACAACAATCCTATTATCACTATCTCCAATTTACAGATGACAGTATAAGAAGGTAAGGGCTTTGTCCTAAGAACATTCATGGCTACTGGCAAGGTGGGACAGAATATAAGTCTGACTCTAAAAGCAGTCCCGGGCGGGGGGGCGGGGTGGTTGACAATCTATGCTGGGAGTGTTAAGAGCTAAGAATGAAGAATAGGTTTCACATTTTAAAAAAATTCTTTTTCTTGGGGCTGGAGCAATAGCACAGTGGGTAGGGCGTTTGCCTTGCACACGGCCGACCCAGGTTCGATTCCCAGCATCCCATATGGTTCCATGAGCACCGCCAGGAGTAATTCCTGAGTGCAGAGCCAGGAGTAACCCCTGAGCATTGCTAAATTGACCCCAAAAGCAAAAAAAAAATTCTTTTTCTTTTAGTTACTGGGCCACACCCGGCGATGCTCAGGGATTACTCCTGGCTTTGTGCTCAGGAATTTACTCTTGGCAATGCTCGAAGGACCATATGGGATGCTGGGAATTGAACCTGGGGAGGCTGCATGCAAGGTAAATGCTCTAGCTGCTGCACTATCACTCCACCCTGGGTTTTGCTTTTCTGGATGTTTGTAAAAGAAAATGCAACCAGAGACAAAGAAGTCCACATGACTCACAAGGATACTATCTGGCCTTTCACAGAAAAAAGTGCAGTTATCTCATCCAAAACTTCGCACTATCAACAACTACATCAGACTCTATGTACTGGAAAAGGGCATCTGGGATCAGTTTCTTTGGTTACCACTATCATGATCGAGTGGCATTTAACCAAATTTAACATGTCATGTTCTTTACTTGGGGGGGGGGGGGGGTTAGACATACGCAACAGTGCTCAGGAGCTATTCCAGGGACCACATGGTATATAGAGTATCAAACCGGGGACGGCCACAGCTAAGTCTCAGGCCCCGGTGCCATGTTCTAAAACTCTGGGTCATGTAACTTTTAACAGATTTATTTTAAAGTAAAGTTCTTGCAGCTTTAGTACAGGGTGGTTTTTGTTTGTTTTCATTTTTGCTTTTTGGGTCACACCCCGCGATGCACAGGATTACTCCTGGCTCATACACTCAGGAATTACTCCTTGCGGTGCTTCGGTGACCATATGGGATGCTGGGAATCGAACCCGGGTTGGCCGCGTGCAAGGTAAACGCCCTACCCGCTGTGCTATCACTAGTACAGGGGTTAATGTATATGCCTTGCATGCAGGTGAAGTGGTTCAAATCCCCAGGCAACATGGCTGCCAAGAGCAGCCCTTGAGGCTCCCAAGATAGAGTGGCCCAGGTCAGCCTGAGTACCACAGGGCCTTTGCAGCATAGCATCTTGTGTCCTGACATGGAACTACTGCCCATTTGGTAAAGAATCACCATGAGAAGGCCCCTGGGCGTCCGCCTCCCGAGCGCCTCTTGGGAGGCCTAAATAGTAATAGCAATCAATTTCTTTACGATTTATTTTCAGTGTTTGGTTTCCCTTACACAAGGCCGACCTGGCCAACCCAGGTTCGATTCCTCCGCCCCTCTCGGAAAGCCTGGCAAGCTACAGAGAGTATCTCGCCCACACAGCAAAGCCTGGCAAGCTCCCCGTGACGTATTCGATATGCCAAACACAGTAACAACAAGTCTCACAATGGAGACGTTACTGGGCCTGCTTGAGCAAATCGATGAACAACGGAAGGACAGTGCTACAGTGCTACCTACATCATATCCCCAGGACTGTGTAAAGTTCTTGGGCAAAGAGGGGTAGCGAGGGGGAAAAGTTTAAGAAGCCTGCTTTAAATGACCTGTCGACCTAAGGAAGTAAATTCCTTGAAGGCAGGGACCTCTTCACCCCTTTGTGTTTTCTCAGCATGATACAAAGCCGAGTGATTGGGAAATGTCTGTTGAGGGCAGAGTGCATAAATCACCCACAGGACCCATAGATATATTACCTAGATATGAGTGGTTAATGTGGTCACTCACACTTGAGGGTGATTGCAAGTAACATGTCAAATATAACCCCCACCAAAAACAAACAAAAAAAACCCCTCACAATATATGGGCTGGAGCGATAGCACAGCGGTAGGGCATTTGCCTTGCACGTGGCCGGCCTGGCGGAGCCAGGTTCGATTCCTCAGCCCCTCTCGGAGAGCTAACAAGCTAACAAGAGTATCTCGCCCACACAGCAAAGCCTGGCAAGCTCCCCGTGACGTATTCGATATGCCAAACACAGTAACAAGTCTCACAATGGAGATGTTACTGGGCCCACTTGAGCAAATCACTGAACAACGGGAGGACAGTGGACAGTGCTACGGTGCTACACAATATATGAAGACCATCTAATATGCCTAAATGCGAAAAATCACTGGGAGCAGAGTTCTAGGCACATAGGTTGGGTATTTGATTCCTGTAAAAATGAACAACACTGGGGCTGGAGCGATAGCACGGCACGAAGGGCGTTTGCCTTGCACGTGGCCAACTAGGGTTTGATTCCCAGCATCCCATATGGTCCCCCGAGCACCGCCAGGAGTAATTCCTGAGTGCAGAGCCAGAAGCAACCCCCTGAGCATCGCAGGGTGTGACCCAAAAAAGCAAAGGAACAACAAAGCCCAAGCCCCTGCATTTCCTGAATTCCCACCACGCACCTTCCCTTGCTTAAGCTTACAAGGCCAGTTCCAGGCAGAAGTCATTTAGTCCGAATGATGGCTGGCTGGGGTGCCTGGAGGCCTGTGTGGTCTTTTTGCTGTGTGCCAAGGTGGCTTCTACCTACCGGCCAGCCTGGGAAAGGAAGCCCGGCTTGCTTCTCCTGGCCTGGGAAAGGAAGCCCGGCTTGCTTCTCCCGTTCAAGTCTGTTCTATGGGGAAAGAATCTGGCCATTCCTCAGAAAGTACTTGGTCCCGTCAGCTGTTTGGACCCTCCGGGTTGTTAACTTCTAATTCTCAGCCTGCAGCAACAAGAATCTTCATTTTCTCTGGGAAGGTTGCAATGCGGTTCAAACTGCCCCTCTGGCCTCTCTCGGCCCAGGTGGCCTTTCTGACCTTTGGCCTCACCCCCCACCCTCACTTAACAAAAATGTTAACTCCTGAGAAAGCTCAACCTGAAAGCACTCCAAGCTCCAGGAACTGACCCAGGAGTAATCAACGTGCTCAGAGCCTTCTGGCCCGCAGCGACCCCCGGAGACACACCCGCCGGGGTCTAGGGCATCTCCAGGAGGTTCTTAAAGATTGCTCCCACGGTCCAGAAGGCTGGAAAAACCCTTAAGTGTCTCCCTTGCTGCACTAGAATCGCAGAGTTTAACCACACACAACCGATCCGATCCCTACGAGGAACACGGGAGTGGGGGGGGGGGGGGAGACGGGGACAATCAACCGAGACCCTCGTCCAAGCCGGCCCGGAGCCTTGGGGGGCTCCATTCGCCTTCCGGTTTTCGCTGGGCGACGCGGCTGTCTTCGCGTGTCCTGCTCAGCGCAGGACCAAGGAGACAGGGGACCAGCTCCAGGGGGCCTCTGCCACCGCCGCACCCCCCCCGCCCCCAAAGAACGCCCCCGATGGAGAAGCGCGACACAGAGACTGGCGCAGCTTGCAGGGACCTTTCGATCATCGGACACCCCGGAGAAAAGGATGGCTGGGTCGGCATCTCCTCCCCGAGCCCCCCGGCTCACCCGAGACACCGCACCCACACCCTTTCCATCCAGCGCCGGGTCCCCGCTAGGTGGGCAGAAGCGGGGGGGGGGGGCTGGGGGCGAGGGGGGTAAAGGGGGTGGGGTCCGGGAGATGAAAGGTGTGCACAGGTCGCCAAAGGGAGGATGGGAGGCTGAGAAAAAGAGGGCGAGGTTTGGAGAGGGCAGGAAGCGAGGCAAAGAAACGGAGGGGGGGGATGGGGGGGGCGACACGCGGCAGAAAACGGAGAGGGCGGGGGCAAGGCAGGGGGAATCACAGGATGGGGAGGAGAGGAGGGCACGGCAGAAAAAATGGAAGGAGATCGCGAGTGGGAGCCCGACGATCCGGAGGCCCCGGGTGGGGAGGGGACCCGGCGAGGGGAAGACAGCTCGGGGTGGGTGGGAGGGCGCACTTGCCATAAATCATAGCCAGGCCGGTCTCGTGCAGGAAGCGGGCCCGGCGGTGCTTGAAGAGCCAGATGGTGAGGATGGTGAGGGTGAGCAGCAGGATGAAGATGAGCAGGTTGGCGCTGTCCTGCCGGTGACTCTCCTCGGCTTGTTTCTCCGACACGATCTCTTCGTCCACGACGCGCGCGGCTTCGCCGGCGCCGTCCGCCGCCCGCACCCAGCCGCAGAAGCCCACGGCCAGGAGCAGCCAGAGCGGCCGCAGCACGAGCGGCCGGGCCTGGGGGCCGCCGCCGCCGCCGCCGCTGCCGCCACGGCGAGGGGGCACCAGCGACCAGCCGCGACGAGCCATGACTCCCCCGGGCCCCCCGGGCCCCGTCTCCGCCGCAGCCGCCCGCGGTCGCACCACTCCCCGAGGGCTCACGGGAAAGGGGCGGGACCCGGGCCCGGGAAGCTGTGGCGGCCGCGCTGCCGCCGCTCTTAAAGGGGCCGCCGCACTCCCGCGGGCTCGGCGGCTTTCGTTTCCGCCTTCCCGGCTGGCTGCTTGGGCTCCTTCAGCCCCTCCGCCTTGGAGGGAGGGTGTGGACTCAGGCGCTGCCAACTAGGGAAAGGTCCTCGACTCGAACCCACGGACTTCTGGCCAAGATCCCCCCCCCAAGACACACACATCCACACAAACACACACACACACACACACACACACACACACACACACACCAGTCACCCGCGTCATCAAGTAGCGGCTTTGTGTACTTGGATCCTATTCTTGGAGCTCTCCTGGGGAATTGGATCTTTCATAACCCATCTCGATATTGTCCCCCAGTGTCTCTTAACTGGATGAGAAGTTGTCCCCCTTGGCATTGGCCTAGATCTTCCCCTCTTTTGCAATCCTCCTTTCTGGCCACACTGGGAAAACAAGCCAGTAGTAGTCAGTGGAAGGATGTGATGAAAGGTAAAAAGTATGTGACCACATGTGGGTCTATATGTTCCAATTTCTTTACTTGTAATTACCCGGAAAGAAATCATCCCACAGAGAAAGTCATCAATGTGGCAAAGGGGATTCAATCGGGTTGTACTCAAATTCTCACCAAACGGAGGGATGGGTACTGGATCATTGTATAACTGAAACTCAAGCACAAAAATGTGTAAGTCTATAACTGTACCTCATGGTGTTTCACTAATTAAAATTTTTTAAAAATTCTCACCAAACACTCGCCCTCCCTTCCTGAAGAAATCAATTTGGGGACTAGGGGGAGAGTGCAATGGGTAATGGGTGAGGCGCTTGGCTTGCTGAAGGCTGACCTGGATTCCATCCCAAGCACTACAAGGGTGCCTGAACACAGCCAGGCATAAGTTCTCAGCACTCCAGCTGTGATCCCCCAAAACAAAAAACAAACCAGTTTGGAGCCAGGGATATAGCACTTGCCTTACCTGTGTGACGACCTGGGGTTTTATTGCAGTACCTCCAAACATGGTCCTCTTACCGTGGTCCCCCATCACCTCCAAGGGACCCTTGAACTGGGGCCATCACTCCCCAGGAATGACCCTGGAGAAGGAAGTTGCCCCCCACCGCACCACCCCAGCACAGCCCGGTGTGGCCCCAAAACCACAAACAGAAAAGTCTTCTCTCCTTTCTACCTTGTCTTAAAGCACATTCCCCCTTGGCCTGAATGTCACGTTTGACACCATCTTTCATCTTTCTTTCTCAAAGAGTGTCTCTCTGTTCTCAGCCTCCCACCAGAATTTTCACAGTTCTCACCTTACTGAGAATAGTGGGCCACTATTTCAATCACCTCTTCACTCTGTGTGGGTCTTTTTTTCTTTCCTTCTTCTCTCTCTCCCTTCCTTCATTTCTCTTCCTTCCTTCCTTCCTTCCTTTTCCTTCCTTCCTTATTTTTCCTTCTTCCCCTTCCTTCCTTCCTTCTTTCCTTCCTTCCTTCCTTCCTTCCTTATTTTTCCTTCTTCCCCTTCCTTCCTTCCTTCCTTCCTTCCTTCCTTCCTTTCTTTCCTTCTTATTCGAGAATTTCGAATTTCTTTTTCCTCAACATAAATGAACTACAAATCCCCAGCCCTGCTATACCACCCTCCCTTCAAGTCTCTCTACCATGATGAGGTGTCTTATGAATCTCAAATGGACAAAAAAAGTTCTGTGTAAGATTGTTACCCCACCACACCCCGCAAAGCACATATTATTTCTCAGATTTTTTTCCACACCACCCATGGTAATACTGTCAAAACAGTTTCACTCATTCAGCCTAGAGTTTCTGATTTTCAGAGTTTTCATCATATATATATCACAGCGGTAGGGCGTTTGCCTTGCATGTGGCCGACCTGGTCGGCCCAGGTTCAATTCCTCTGCCCCTCTTGGAGAGCCCACCAAGCTACCGAGAGTATCTCGACCGCACGGCAGAGCCTGGCAAGCTCCCCGTGACATATTCGATATGCCAAACACAGTAACAAGTCTCACAGTGGAGATGTTACTGGTGCCCGCTTGAGCAAATTGATGAGCAACAGGAGGACAGTGCTACTCAGCATATATATATATACACACATACATATTATATATATATATATATATATATATATATATATATAACCTAGCAGGGCAAGTGATAAGACAAGTGACCTTCAGGAATGTCAAGCTTTTCTAGTGTGGATGCAAACCCCAATAACCAGCTTTAAGTTCTACGAGGATAGTGAGGTAAACACACACACAAACAACCCTACACAAACATACATACACACCAACACCACCACCAAATAGACAAACCTCCCAAACAAACTAGAATGGTGTTCAACTCCAAATTTTGTCCCTTTTTGAGCAGGAGGTGCCCCAGTAACCCCAAGCTCATTCTCTCATTCTCGCCTTTCAGTTCCTCAGGTTTTCTGTACCTTCCCAGGAAGCCTCACAACCGCCCCACCCTTCTCCCCTGGCTCCAGCCTGTCCACACTGCCTTGTTCACACATGGCTGGGCTTCCCAGAGTCGAGTGGGGATCCTTTCCAGTCCCCACCCCCCACACAATCCCTTCCCCCTTCCCCACCCCCAGAGGACCTAGCGAATGATTTGGCCTGTTGCTTCAGCCTAACCACCCACTCACTCCCAGGCTGTTTTGTCTTAACACAAAATCGTGTTCATTCTCCTTGTATTCCGGGGGTGGGTGGTGGGGGATGAAAGCAGTTGCTGCCGGGCATGTGGCTCCGTGGTGGGGCACATACCTCGCCTGTGGAGGAACTTAGATCCCCAGCACTGCCAAAGTAACAAAACAAAAGTGGCTGTCCCGGAACATTAGCTCAGTAGCTTAGAATGCTTGCCTTGCAAGCATAGTTGGGAGTTCAGTCCTCGAGGGGATTGCCACCTGTGCCCAGTGGGAGCCTCTCAACTCAAGCAACTCGGCTGGTTTGAGATTGACAGCTGGACTGTCTGTGATCTCTGACACTGCAAGTGATTTCCAGCTGTGCTTCAGACAGAGGGTGTGTGTGTGTGTGTGTGTGTGTGTGTGTGTGTGTGTGTGTGTGCGCGCGCGCACGCACACGCGCACTCAGGCAGTACAACAAAGACAACTAAAAGATGCAATGACAACCCCCTGGGAAACACATATGTGTGCACTACTACCAGAATGTGTACATATTCAATGACTTTTTTTTCACTTTTATTTTTATTACTGAAGTTGGGAATACACCTGGCAGTGCTCAAACATTATACCTGACTCTGTAAGCAGGAGTGATCCCTGGCTGTACTTGGGGGAACATATGCGGTGCTGGGGATGGAACTGGGGGTCTTCTGTGTTCCAGGTGAACCCTAGCCTTATCTCCTGTACCATCCTGTACCACAGCACCCCCAACACCACAGTTAAAGGCCTGCAGCCCCCACTGAGTGGCACAGCCAAATGTGCAAACCCAACAAAACTGATGGAGACGCTGGTAAGCACCACAGCTAAAGATGTTTGAGCCTCACAGCCAAATGTCTGTGAGTCATTGCAACGCCAGTAAGAACTATAATGGGAAAGGAGGATTCATAAAGAAATAAAAAAATTTAATAATAACCATATTCTTTGTTTGGTGCCGGCACAGCAGAGCCTGGCAAGCTAGCCGTGTCGTATTCGATATGCCAAAAACAGTAATAATAACAGGTCTCATTCCCCTGACCCTGAAAGAGCCTCTAATACGGCAGCATTGGGAAAGACTAGTAAGGAGAGCCTGCTAAAATCTCAGGGCTGGGACAAATGGAGATGTTACTGGTGCCCGCTTGAGTAAATCGATGAAAAACGGGATGACAGTGATACAGTGATATTGTTTGGTGCCAGTGATCAAACCCAAAGCCTTATACATTCAAGGAAATGTTCTACTGCTGAGCTATAGCCCCAGCAGAAATAACACAACTTCAAAGGTTCAGTTAGGGCTAGAGAGATAGTACAGGAGTTAAGGCACGTGATTTGTACATGGCCTACCCTGGTTCAACCTCAGCATCACGTGGGTCCCCGAAGCACTATATGATGCAAGCACTGGAGACCCTCAAGTACTTGTGGGATGACCTGGGTAATCCCAGACACCCCAGGGTCAGAGCAGCAGTGTGTATTTGGACTCTCGTATTGAACTACTGGCCCAGTTGGCTGCAAATCCCCAGGAGGGCACCACAGGTCTCCTGAGCACCACTTGGGAGACCCCCCCATGAAAAAAAACTTGCTAATAACCTGCACACAGGTAGCAAACATTTTCAAGTTCCAGACTCTAGCCTTGTGTACATAACCCCCAAAAAATACTTAGTACACACCCCTCTCCCACTCCCTACACCCCAAAGCAACCACTCTACAAAGAAACGAAAGATGCAGTTACTCTACCAAGCAGATCAATATGCAGGTTTGGGTTCCACTCAAAATGTTCACCTTGGAGCCAGAGAGATGCTAGTTCAGCAGGTAAGGCATTTGCCTTGCATGCGGCTGACCCGGGTTTGAGCCCCAGCACTACATAAGTCCCCGAGCTCTGCCTGATCAGTCATCAGGCAGGATCCCTGAGCACAGAATCAGAAGTTGGCCCTGAGCATTGCCCAGTGTGGGCCAAACAGCTTTTCCAGGAAATAAGAATGTATACTATCCTCTCAACCCAGTATACTTCATGCTTCCTCCAGTTTCTCTCATAACCACCCTCCTAGCCAATCCCTGTCTACTTCACGAGCCAAGTATTCAATCCTCTGAGCAGATATGCACACACATGTTACTTTGCTGGTAAATGAATCCTGCCCTGAGCGTTACATGCTCTTACTGCTGTTTCAAATAGAGACCTATACAGATAGCACAGCTGGTAACGCACTTGATTTGCAAGCACCCGACCGGGGCTCTATCCCTGTGTCACATCAGGGACATAGAAGCAGGAGTAAGTACTGAGCACCACTGGTTGTGGCCTGAAAAGAAC